AACGATGCAGATAATGACGACAAACCAGTGTGGAGCATACAGGATCAAAACACAGATCATCTTGTGTTGAAAGCTACTGAATAGTAGTGAGTTTTTAAACGGGACTTGAAAACCGAGAGGGAGGGGGCCTGTCTGACAAGCAGAGGTAACTCGTTCCAGAGTCTTGGTCCTGCTACAGAGAAGGCCCTGTCACCTCTGCGCTTAAGACGAGTTCCTGGAACTGTGAGGAGCAACTGGTCCGCTGACCTCAGGGAACGTGGTGGGCCATACGGTTGTAGCAAATCAGAGAGATGGGGGGGCGACACTGTTCAGTGATTTGTAGACATACATGAGTATTTTGATCTGGATTCGAAAGTGAAACGGTAACCAATGCAGTGAGGCCAAAACTGGTGTAATGTGCTCTCTTTTGCCTGTACTGGTTAAAAATCGGGCTGCTGCATTCTGGACCATTTGTAGTCGTGCAATGGAGGTCTGTCTGATACCAAACAGGAGCGAATTGTAGTAATCAAGCCTAGATGTAATGAATGCATGTATTACTGTCTCCAGGTTATTTTTGAACAATATGGGCTTCAGTTTAGACAGCCGCCTCAGTTGGAAGAAGCATGATTTAATGATCATGTTTACGTGATTGTTAAGCTTCAGGGAAGGGTCCATTATCACGCCCAGATTAGTGACTTTGTTTTTCTGACAGGGTTAGAGCGGAAAGGTCGATGCAGTGGTTTGTGATCGTGTCGTTGGGAGGGAACAACATGACTTCAGACTTCTTTTCATTGAAACTTAAGAAATTTAAAGCCATCCAGTCCCTGATGTCAGCCAGGCAGTTGAGCAGAGGTTGAATAGAGCATGTACCATTGTGTCTTAGGGGGAAGTAAATTTGACAGTCATCGGCATAGAAGTGGAAGAGCATGTTGTGTTTCCGGAAAATAGCACCAAGCGGCAGCAGGTATAAAGAGAATAGGAAGGGACCCAGGATGGACCCCTGCGGAACCCCCCAATTTAAGCTCTGCCTCTGCAGAACTAAAATCAGAGTCAGAGAGTCAGAGTCAGAGTTTCTTTATTGTCATTCGCACCTCATGTGGTACATGTGGTGGAGCGAAATTATGTACACAGGGTCCCAGTTACATCCAACAATAAAATGTATAAGAAAAACAGTAATAACATCTAAGATATGAACTAAGAAAAACATCAACTAAATATACACTAAGCACTCATAACATAAAACATTGAACATCACCACAAACATGAACATGAGTCTGTGAGCAGATGTGCACGCATGAACAC